TTTCCATCAGATGGGCCGTTAGCTTGTTTGCCATTCTAAGTTGTATAAAAAAAAACTGCACCATGGACATTAAAGATTCTTCAAATAGCATACATCTTCAGATTTCTTCAAGAAATGGGTAAAGAGTCGGCAATGAGAGCATAATGCCCCTGGTATTGCAAACATTCACAGGTTACGGCCACCGCTTACCATCAGGCTGTATGCTTGTTTGTCACCTCAGTGTTATCAAAAAAGATATTACACACCCACAGCGGCCCTGACGCATTGTCACTCCTAAGAACTAAGATGTAATGCTTCTATACTCTGTTTTTAAAGAATTATTCCTTACACCTGAACCAAGTTTCAAACACTAACTTTGTACGAAAGTTGTCTAAATAAGGGTACTTATCTCACTCGTGTTTCTGCCCTGAAGCAGCTGTGCTTACCATCATCATCATTTCAGCCATTACCTGACTACTAATGAACATAAGCCTTCCCCATAGACCACCATAAGTAACAGTCCCTTTTTTTGTTTTACGTCAGGAAAAATGCATCATGCAGACCCACACAGCTTAAGGCCCGTGTGGGTACGGCTAAACGACCTGACGATATACCTCCCAGCTCAAAACAACAATGCCGAGAGATCCCTTTTGAAATTGACCTCGACACTGACACGAGACCCAATGAAGGGTAACTCCATCTTGGGGCGTGAAGGGTATATGCAACACGCCCCCACACGGTCCTCATTCCCCCCTGATGAGCTTCAGACGGCCCTAATAAGTAACAGTCCTAAGCCAACTGCATCCTGCGTACTGTGTTTGCAATTCAGTTTAAATGGTGGGATGTGGCAGTGAAAGTACAAATTACAGAGACGTAGCACCATAATCCTGGGTGCAACATGTGAGAAGTTACGTGTATCACAGTGTATCCTGTAAAGTCTACGATGCTGTGCGTCCATAGTTGAGGATATTATGTGTCCATCACAGTATATTCTGTGAAATCCACGAGGATCATGTTTACAGGTGACGATCACCACTTTTCGTCGGCTGTCAACTAATTTGTCGTTTAAATCGCTTAAGAATCCTTTAACTCTAGAAAAGTAAGTTTAAGAGGTCAGTACCTGCCCCATCTCGCTACAGAGCGACTGCCGCCCTTGGGACGCGTTCTTCTTGGTGTTCCAGCAGAACTCCAGTATGGCCACCATTATGGCTAACGCTAAACCGCATAACAGCGTCACGAACACACCGCCTGGTCAGAACAAAGATGGCATAACATTATTATAATAAAAAACATTTTAAACATCTTTTAAAAAAATAATGAAATTCAGTAGAAATTAATGGGATTTAATGTAATTTTATATAATGGAATGACTTAGGATCTAATAGGATCGAATGTAATCAAATAAGATCTAGAGAGATCGAATGAGATCAAATGAACTATAATGGGATCGTTAGAGTTCAAGCGAGATCGAATAGGATCGAATATGATCGCACGGGATCGAATGGATTCGAATTAAATCGAATTGAACAGATAGGAATCATATGAAATCAAACAGAAGCTAATGAAATCGCATAGAAATACACTACCCATTACAAAGGCAACAATATAATTAATGTTAATAGACGACGGTTAGTGCTTTCCATCAGGCAGGCCGTTAGTTTATTTGCAATTATAAATAGTACAATTAAAAATATATATCTTACCAATATTCTGCACCCCTAACGGGTTCGCCTTACTGTCCTTCCCGTCTCTGTTGCACACATCCCCTGTATTCTTCCACCATTTGTCATACAAAATCTGTATGACACCTTTCTCTTGGAGCTCCAGGATGGCCAGGGATATTTTATCCCTCCATGGACTACCTTTCCAGGTCGCTATGCCGTAACCCTGGAATAAAACAGAATAGTTGAACACTAATGTAAAATCACCAGAGAAACAATCGGTCAAGACGTGAGGAGGAGTGTTTTTTATGCGTGAAAATGGCATGGTTACCCCGCCTGCGCTATCGGTATACACTAGCGGGGTACCAGTGAGCGGTGATAGGTGAGGATGAAAAGGCAGGTCAGTTAGCCCATTGTGACGAATTCAATGATAAATTGGTCACGATAGTTTCCAGGGCAAACCGCGTGGAGGTCGACCTGATTGGGTATATTAATAGCAATAGGGACTAAACTCCTCATTACTAACAATCTCTTTCCCCCTGAGGAAGAGGGTTTGCTAGTAATAGATTTTAGTTGTCTTATCGATGTAGTAATTCCGTGTATCTTCATCATATTTTTTATACCACTGAAATGGCAAACAAGCATACGGCCCACCTGATAGTAAGCGGTTACCGTAGACTATGAACGCCTGCAATACCAGGGATATTACTCGCGTGAATTGTATCATTCTTTTCCCTAGGAACCATTCTAATTAGACTTTTTTCCTATTACTGGTGGATTTGGCACCATTGCATTGTCATTGCCTAAAATATCAGTATATGATTTGTCACCATATAGTGCCTTGAAGAAACAAAAAACCATCCTCAATGCATAATACCCAGTCAGTACCTTTGAGTCTAACAGTCCTCCAATCTGCGTCAAGTTGCAGTCCCTCTGGACTCTGTGGTCCAGCATCGTGGACTCCATGAGGAAGGCGTAGTTCCCCATCAGGACTCTCTTCACACCGTCCTCGTAGGAGGAAACCAACGCCGGCGGGGAGGCAGTCGACATGTGCTGCCACATTTTCTGGTAGATGTCTATATTCGAATCCTGGGAGAGACAATGTTTATATTAAATATCTGTATGGTAACAGATCGCCGTGTGTGTCCCGGCACAGAATGGGCTACCCTTTCCTTTCCCGTGGGTGTCTTAAGAGCCGACTAAGGGAGGACGAGAGATTGGCAGCAGCGTCCCTCTTAAAACATCTCTAAAAGCCTAACTGCGGTTACCAACCCACCTGCCAAGCGTGACGACTACTGGCAAAACGCCCCTTTTGGGGAAGACTTATGTTCAGTGGACAGTTAACGACTGGAATGACGATATCCTTAAGATAAAATAAAGACTTACCCTAAAAAAAGTCATGGTGGAACCACCATTCAGCGTGCCATACTGCACGCTGGTCTGGGCAGCAAGGTCGGCGGCGCTCTGTATCGGCAGGACGGTTCGCTCCACGGTGAGGAAGGCGGCCAAATTAGCCGTGTACGAGGACAGAATGATCAGGGTAAAGAACCACCATATACCCCCCACTATCCTTGTTGAGGTAGCCTGAAAGAAATATTGAGAGCGTCAATGGGTGTTAATTAACTAGTAAAGCAATTTTCATACGTAGGGGGGGAAAAGAAATGATTGCGGGCTACCAATCCCATTGCTCTGCACATAACATCACCATCATTATCACAACCCATCAATGGGAAAAAGGGATTAGTAGTAATGTGGTTTTACAACCCCATTTCGGGGGGAGGGGATTGTTAGTAATGCCAGCTACCAGTTCCATTTCTAGCAATATACCCTGTCAGATCGATCTCCACGTGATCTCCCTTGGAAACCATCGTGATGAATTCCAGATGTATTCATAACGATAGGCTAGCTAACATGCTTTTTCATTATTAACCTATCATCCCTCGCTGGTGCCCCGCCAGTGTATACCGTTAGCGCAGGCGGGGTTACCATTCCAATATAAGCCATTAAAAAAATTATAATGTTATTATCCATCTCTTGTAAATCTTAAATCATGCAATGCTAAAGTTTAAAAGTTAACAGTAGAGCAAAATGTTTACAAATGTATGGTGCTTATATGTTTCTGTGACAGGTAGATTGCCTCTCTATTAATTTTTCCTGTAGGACCACGCAGAATGGTCTTGAATTCACTTTTCCTACAAGGTCACGTGAGTTGAGTCCAAATTCTTTTTTTTTATACAACTTAGAATGGCAAGCAACCTGACGGCCCACCTGATGGAAAGTGGTAACCGTCGCCTATAGACATGAGCAGTACCATGGACATAACAGAGTATACTGTTTCGCCCATGATACCCCCATGCGTTGCCATTTCTGAGGACTCAGTTGTTATTCCTCTGTACCCAGTAAATTCACGCCATATCGCACCCTTCAAACCGAAACACAGCCATGCAAACACAACTGCTTTACAGTTGAAACACAAATAGGACAGAGGTACCAAAGCAATCGACTTCACGGTAGAAACACGAATGGGATGATCACAAATTTGTAATCCCTTTAGGACCATATGAGTTGATCTTTAATTCGTAATCCCTATTAAACCACGACAGTTGATCCTGAACTCATTGTACTCTTCAGGACCACGACAGTTGAGACTGAATTAATTTACCCTTCAGCATCACGAAAGTTAATCCTGAATTCGTGATACTTCCATGAACATGATAATTTATTCTGAATTCATGATCCCTTCAGGGCTACGACAGTTAATCCTGACTTCATGTACCCTTTCTGGATCGCGACAATTAATCCTGAATTTGTGATCCCTATAAAACCACGACAGTTGAGCCTGAATTCGTAATCCCTTCAGGACGAGGTCAGTTGATCCTGAATCCATGATCTCTTCAGGACCACGACAGATGATCCTGAATTCATAATCCGTTTAGGACCAGGATCACATAAATTGATCTTTTTATAATCCCTTTAGAATGTTAATACACGTTATTGTTTATATTGTTAAAATTTTACAAAAATATGCAGCAAGTCACCTTAGGATTAAGACCGGAGCCCTGTCTCAGGAAAGTGCCGGTTATGAACCAGAATGAGTTGCATACACTGAACTGATTCGTGAGCAACTTCGTCTCGTGCCCACACACGTGTGTACTGCTCGACCTGAAAAGCATATTTATATATAATAAAAATTTATTACCTCTTTCAAGAAAAGGCTGAAATTACATTTTCTTTCCCTTGCGTTATATTTTTTTTTTATTTTCTAACTTTTTTTATACAACTTAGAATAGCAAACAAGCTGACGGCCCACCTGATGGAAAGTGGTAACCGTCGCCTATAGACATGAGCAGTACCATGGACATAACAGAGGATACTGTTTCGCCCGTAATACCCTCCCACCCCATGCGTTGCCATTCCTGAGGACTCAGGTGTTATTCCTCTATACCTAATAAATTCACGCCATATCCCAACCTTCATACTGAAACACAGCCATGCAAACACAACTGCTTTACAGTTGAAACACAAATAGGACAGAGGTACCCAAGCAATCGACTTTTGTACAAAGTCTTCCTCCGGTCTGAACTGAGCTGTCAAATCTTAAAATAATTAAACTAAATTTCTAATGTAGATAGTATATTCATTTATTTTAACATTTATTATATAAGTAGGTACGTATTATATTTATTTATAGTATATGTATTTATGTAATATTTTATTATATATTTAATTTAACTAGACTTGTTAATTGCCAAGTGCAAAATTGGAGAACTGTTAATCCAATTTATATATTTTTATTTATTTATTTATCATTTTTTGTACACACATATGAAGTACAAATGGCGGTCTTATCGTTATATGACTCGGATTATACGTTTGTTTGTTTTTAATAGATGAAAGTGGAATGGTATCCCCGCCTGTGGTATTGGTATACACCGACGAGGCACCAGTTGAAGATGATAGGTGAGAATGAATGCAGGTCAGTTGGCTCACGATGATGAATTCGACAAGAATTAACCATGATGGTTTCCAGGGGGAACCGCGTGGAGGTCGACCTGGGAGGGTCAGTTGCCAGCAACGGGGCTATTAGACCTCATTACTAACAATCCCTTTTCCCCCACGTTCGTTTGTTACCCCTTAGCACCTCAACGGCTTAACCAATTATTATGAAATTTGGTAGTAGTATATGGGATGGAGAAGGTATAGGCTACTTTTCATACAGAGTCAGTAAACATATATCGGTGGTATAGAAGAAGTTATTGATAAAAGCTAGTCTAGATCAGCGATTCGTAAACTGGGTTCCACATAACCTAGGAGTACCGGGGGGAAAAGGGATTGTTAACAATGGAGTTTGACAGCCCCATTGCTAGCAATATGCTTTATTAGGTCGACCTCCACGTGCTTTCCCCTGGAAACCATCGTGAACAATTCTTGTTGACTTCGTCACGTTTGGCTAACTGACCTGCTTCATCCTCACCTATCATCCTTCACTGGTGCCCCGCCGGTGTATACCGATAGCGTGGGTGGGGTTACCATTCCATTATCATCCATTAAAAAAGAAAAGCTAGGGGTACCGTAAAAAAGTCACCAGAGTTCCCCGAGATTATTTATAGGGCGAAACAATTTCATTCTTCACATTAGAAGTTAAAGGAAACTCTATAAAGTGTTATACTTTTAAAATATTTCTAATAAAAGCTTTTTTTATTTTATTTTAATTACAGTGTATATACAGTGTTAATTTGTACTCGTTTGATATGGGGTTCTATAAAATGAAATACATCGTAACGGATCCTTAGACTATTTCTAAAGTGAAAGAAGTGTCGTCCTCCTCTCTCGTACTTGCTGTGCCCAACACGGTCCATAATTGAAATGTTATCTACTAATTATATTATGGAATGCAGTACTTACCATTCATAAGGTGAGAACCTGGCCATAACGAATAATGTAAATGACACCAAGACATAAGCGGCCAGCACGTACAGCCATATTTCTATGGCCAACGGATTGAGGAAACTGAACAGCCTGGTCGGCTGAGATGTTGGCACCTGGAGACCAAGTACATTATACACTGGTTGGGCGCACTCCAAAAGGATATCACTTCTATAGATCCCCTAGTGTTTTTTATATCATTTTTTTTACTATGATCACCCATAATACCAACGGCATTGCAGGTGTGCTGCCGGCCTTTTAAAAAGGAGTATACTCTTTTCTTGAAAGTTACGATGTCGTATCGGTTCGGAAATACTGCTGCTGGAAGTTTATTCCAAAGAGTGGTTGTGCGTGGAAGAAAGTGCCTTGATAAAGGCATGCTGGAGGACCACTACTCATCCAAATGATTGATCCAATGATCCAAAACACAGGGGGCAAACGAGCATGCGGCTCACCTGATGGTAAGTGACTACCGCCGCCCATGGACACCCACAACACCAGCGGCATTGCAGGTGTGCTGCCGGCCTTTTAAAAGGGAATATGCTCTTTTCTTGAAGGTTACGTTGTCGTATCGGTTCGGAAATAATCTGCTGCTAGAAGTTGATTCCAAAGAGTGGTTGTGCGTGGAAGAAAGTGTCTTGAAAAAGGCATGCTGGAGGACCACTACTCATCCAAATGGTTGGGATAAAACTTTAGTTTGTGGCGAGTTGTACGGTAGGGAAAGTCAGCAGCAGGTATCAATCCGAACAATTCCTCAGAGCACTGCCCATGATAAATTCGGTAGAAGATGCACAGAGATGCAACATCTCTACGCAGTTTCAGTGGGTCGAGCCGGACAGTAAGATGCTATTTACATATTAAATTATAGCTATTAGATATTAATATTTTTTATACAACTTAGAATGGCAAACAAGCTGACGGCCCACCTGATGGAAAGTGGTAACCGTCGCCTATAGACATGAGCAGTACCGTGGACATAACAGAGTATACTGTTTCGCCCATGATACCCCCATGCGTTGTCATTCCTGAGGACTCAGGTGTTATTCCTCTGTACCTAGTAAATTCACTGCCATATCCCACCCTTCAAACCGAAATACAGCCATGCAAACACAACTGCTTGACGGTAGAAACAAGAAATGGAACAGAGGTATCCAAGCAAACGACTTTTGTACAAAGTTTATCTCTGGTAGAGTGTGTAAAGTGTATGTATGTATGTGTTGTGAATTATTGAAATGAATTTTCATTCATTCATTCAATCACTCACTCACACATTCATTCATGTAAATGTAGTGTGATATTATTTGAATGCATTTTACCTTGAACAATATCCCAATACCGAGATTCATGAAAGGCTTCGTGAAGTCTATGACCGCTTCTCTAGCATAGTTTATGGTCATCGATGCGACCGCTATGTCCGCTTTCTGTAAAGATAAATTGATACAGAAATTCATACTAAACTAGATTTTCACTTCCTACTTCGGTTTCGTGGATTTCAGAAATAGGAAAACCAATGGAATTTACCACTTCTAGGTTTTTTTTATACAACTTAGAATGGCAAACAAGCTGACGACCCACCTGATGGAAAGTGGTAATCGTCGCCTATAGACATGAGCAGTACCGTGGACATAACAGAGTGTACTGTTTCGCCCATGATACCCCCCATGCGTTGGCATTCCTAAGGACTCATGTATTATTCCTCCGTACCCTGTAAATTCACGCCATATCCCATCCTTCAAACTGAAACACAGCCGTGCAAACACAACTGCTTCACGGTAGAAACACGAATAGAACAGAGGTACCCAAGCAATCGATTTTTGTACATAGTCTCCCTCTGGTTAGGTTAGGTCGAGTGAAACATACGCCAGTTTTGAAGTTAGACCTTCAGGAATGCAACTGTTGAAACTAGGGACAGAGGGGATTGTTAGTAATGGGAAGATTAGTCCCCATTGCTATCAATATACTCTATCAAGTCAATCTCCACGCGGTTCCCCCTGGAAACTATCTTGACTAATTTATCGTTGAATTCGTCACGATGGGCTAACTGACCTGCCTTTTCATCCTCACCTATCACCTCTCACTGGTACCCCGCCAGTGTATACCGATAACGCAGGCGGGGTTACCATGCCATTTTCATCCGTTAAAAAAACTGTGGGAACTATTTCCATATAAAGACATACAAAAAAACTGTATATATAATAATTCATCAATGAATTCACACGCTTGAACCTAAATGGTCACGTACAGTGCGGTTTCTAAGGAGTTTCTTCCAACGAACACTCAGGCTGTGGAATGAGCTCCCTGTCGAGGTTTTCCCTACAGACTACAGTATGGGGTTCTTCAAAAAGGCTATATAAAGGCAATATTATCGCTAAGAGCGATCTCTTGCAGACAACCTTTGGATGGAGAGGAGTAATTATAAACAGTTTGATCGGAGGCGCGATGAGAATTCTATTATTTCTTAATACAGAGATGTGATACATGTAATGATGTAAATATATATCCTTACTTATTATATGTTATTAACTTATTATAGATACAAACAACCGTGAAGCAGTTGTGTTTGCATGGCTGTGTTACGGTTTAAAGGGTGGGATATGGCGTGAATTTACTGGGTACAGAGGAATAACACCTGAGTCCTCAGGAATGGCAACGCATGGGGGGTATCATGGGCGAAACAGTATACTCTGTTATGTCTATGGTACTGCTCATGTCTATAGGCGACGGTTACCACTTTCCATCAGCTGGGCCGTCAGCTTGTTGGCCATTCTAAGTTGTATAAAAAAAAACAATTACAAGAACATTATGTTGACAGGAACTTACCCTATCTACTAATTCCCTGACGATTCCATTCCATTGACCAGTATCAGGGTCTCTGGCTCCGTACATGTTGTCGGGGACCAGACGCAGTTTGTAGTGGAAGCCGGCCCTCGCCGCCACCCTGGCCAGCAGATCTATACAGAACCCTTCGAAACGAGCATTGCCCTGCAGGTTCCAACCTTCCTTCACCATGACGTAAGGTTTCTCCTAGAAATCATGAATAATTCATGTAGCAGCTGAGTTATTTAATGCTATAATAAGTAGTCTACAAAAAAACTCTAACTTTAATAGTAAAGTCAGTTATTTTAAACTAAACTAGGAAACAGAGGGGAAAGGGATTGTTAGCAATGGAGGTTGACAGCCCCATTGCTAGCAATATGCCCTATCAAGTCGACCTCCACGTGGTTCCCCCTGGAAACCATCGCGAGCAATTCTTGTTGAATTCGTCACGATGGGCTAACTGATCTGTTTCATCCTCATCTATCATCCTTCACTAGTGCCCCGCCGGTGTATACCGATAGCGCGGGTGGGGTTACCATACCATTATCACCCATTAAAACAACTAGGAAACAGATTTTGAAAAAATTTCAATGGAATAAATCTATAAATACATCAATCATGTCAGCCCTTAACTGTCCACTGCTGAACGTAAAGCCTCTCCCTTGGGGAGTTTTGCCAGTAGTTGCCACACTTGGCAGGCGGGCTGGCAACAGCAGTTAGGCTTTTAAAGATGTTTTAAGAGGGACGCTGCCGCCCATCCCTCGCCGTCCCTTATTCGCCTCTTACGACACCCACGGGAAATTAAGGGGGTGGCCTATTCTATGCCGAGGCCATATATAGTTTCAGATAAAAAAAAGAATTTTCCAAATCGTTTTATCAAAATCGTTTTCTAAGGTTGTTACCTTAGAACTTTGTTATTACAAAAAAATGGAACCGAGAACCTTATTTTTTGAAGTCGGTTAAAAATGGTAACCCCGCCCGCGCTATCGGTGTACACTGGCGGGGTACCAGTGAGGGATGATACGAATAGGTGTGGATGGAAAGGCAGGTCAGTTAGCAATCTTCGAGTGTTGGCAGTCGCACACATACTAATGGTAGCGGAATTAAACAAAATAATTCTAAATAAATAACCAATGACGTGGACTTCCACATGATAACACACCTACTCTAGTAAAACATATATCGTCACAGTCGTAGAATACTGATGGATCTGACGAAGATTACATATAAAGATCCGTCAGTATTCTACGACTATGACGATATTTCCTATATACAACATGTAACTTTTGAGGATCTTCACCAGAGGGAGACTTTGTACAAAAATCGTTTGCTTGAGCACCTCTGTCCCATTCGTGTTTCAACAGTGAAACAGTTGTGTTTTCATGACTGTGTTTCGGTTTGAAGGGTGAGATATGGCAGTGAATTTACAGGGTACAGAGGAATAACACCTGAGTCCTCAGGAATGGCAACGCATGGGGGGTATCATGGGCGAAACAGTATACTCTGTTATGTCCATGGTACTGTTCCTGTTTATAGGCGACGGTTACCACTTTCCATCAGGTGGGCCGTCAGCTTGTTTGCCATTCTAAGATACATAATAAAAACCTATTAATGCTTACTGTAGCCCCGTCAGCGTAAACCAATAACCAAAGCAGGATTTTCATTCCAAATTCATGAATTAAAAAAATACATACTTCATTCTCACAGTTTGCAACATACCTCTACTGTAACAACTGTAAGAGTGACATTAGGTGGTGGATCTCTTCTGTACGCGGCTGGATCAGTCACCTCCAGACCCTCAGTCGGTGTCCAGTGTCCGGAGAGTACCACTGCCCCTTCCTCGCCGCCTGACAACCTCATCAGTTGTAGAGTGAAGTTGGTTCGACTACCGTTCTTGAACTCGATTGGTCCTGTGAGGCCATGGGCTTTCACCTTAAAAATACCATATACTTTATTATACTTGCAATTTGCTGACCTCCGTAGCGCAGTGGTAAGCATGTCGCTTCACGTAATGAGGTCTCGGAGTAGAATTCTGATCAGGCCAATTTCGAGAATGAAGTTATCTGAATTGGCTTGGGTTTAGATGTTCTGGATTGAGCTGTTGGATGCCTCGTTTCTTGAACAAGGATCCAAGTTTGAGGACCGGCCAATTGATGTAGTTATTGGCACTTAATTTTTATTATATTAATATAATCTTTATTATTACAGGCTACAATGGCCCTATTTGTTAGTAACATAATCTTAGACTAAGACATAATTTCGAATGAAAGAAACAATAAACAAACTTGGTCACAGCTGAAGCGTCCCATTTGAGATACGACAACAGAGACCAATGTAAGGACAGTCCAACCTGCTTGCAATCATATTCAGGATACTGTTGGCGGTGTCTCGTACCCTACGCACCAGTGACAAGCATCTTACGTATTGTGGCATAAAAGCAATCTACGATTATAGTCATGGAAACTTACAGAATATATGCTATCCAATAATGCCTTCCCGTGACTCCATGGCGTTTCCTTGTCACAGGACACGTTGGCAGACTGCAAACCGTCGGTGGACGCTAAAGCCATGGCCAGAACTTGTACAGCATCATACAGCAATGCCGGTTCAGTCTGAAAATTTTAAATACGAATTGTTGGTACAATTTTTTTTTACAACACAAGGAACAAACGAGCATGCGGCTCTTCTGGTGGTAAGTGACTACCGCCGCCCATGATCACCCACAACACCAGCGACATAGCAGTTGTGCTGCCGGCCTTTTAAATTTTTTGTACACGAGTGTTACAGATTTTGAAGTTACAATTTGTAAACCTACATTTACTTATAACAAATCATCATATATTTCAGAAAATCAGGTTTATACAAAGATACCAAACAAATATACAGCCAGTCTGATGATAAACGGTGACCATAGCCTGAAACACAAGGGGCGTGACGAGCACCTTGCTGATCCTAATACCTTAATAATACGCCCTTTTTTAAAAACCTCATACTGTAGTCTTCAAGAAAATCCTCTGTACTGTAAAATTATGGAAGCCTCGGTGACTGTATTGAATTCCCTGCTGAGATTTCACGAAAGGAACCTCTAAGACTTTTTTTTATACAACTTAGAATGGCAAACAAGCTGACGGTCCACCTGATGGAAAGTGGTAACCGTCGCCTATAGACATGAGCAGTACCATGTACATAACAGAGTATACTGTTTCGCCCATGATACCCCCATGCGTTGCCATTCCTGAGGACTCAGGTTATCACCTGAGTCCTCGCTTTCTCTGTACCCAGTAAATTCACGCCATATCCTTCGCCCTTCAAACCGAAACACAGCCATGCAAACACAACTGCTTCACGGTTGAAACACGGATAGGACAGAGGTACCGGTAATCGACTTTTGTACAAAGTCTCCCTCTGGTGAGAAGACTGCATTATATGCAACCATTTAGATTCTTAAATATCAGGATTGATTCCTTCTCAATGTCGAACGGCGTGGTACTAAAACTAGCTATGAGCATCATTAGAAATGTTCGGAAAAAGAGAACTAGAGGTTTAGTTGCCGAGGTTTTTCCTAAGACTACAATATGGGATACTTTAAAAAGGACGTGTTAAGATTTTAGGGGTCTTGGTTTTGCAGGCGTCCATAGTAACAGTGACCGTTTACAATCAGACAGCCATTATGCTTGTTTGCCAACTTCGTGTTATTAAGAAAAAAAAAAGACCTTAATCTGTCCACCGCTAAGTATCGACGCTCCAATGGGGTGGAACTTCTCCATGACTTGGAGTGCCTCTTTCACTTTATCAGATCCTCGGTCCACCAGCCTCCAGCCACTCATGTTCACTCGATTGTAGTAGAAATCCTCCAAGTCGAATAGTTCCATGTCCTGAAATAAAATGCTGTTGTTTAACCTTTTTATATACTAGTTTATTTTTTATTTTTTTATATGTACTACTTAGAATGGCAAACAAGCTGACGGTCCACCTGATGGAAAGTGATAACCGTCGCCTATACACATGAGCAGTACCGTGGACATAACAGAGTATACTGTTTCGCCCATGATACCCCCCATGCGTTGCCATTCCTGAAGACTCAGGTGTTATACTTCTATACCCAGTAAATTCACGCCATATCCCACCCTTCAAACCGAAACACAGCCATGCAAACACAACTGCTTCACAATTGAAACACAAATGGGACAGAGATACTCAAGCAATCGACTTTTGTACAAAGTCTCCCTCTGGTAAGTCAGTAGTGGTCGCCGTGTGGTCCCTACATAGAATAAACCACCCCTTCCGTTCCCGTGGGTATCGTGTGAGGCAACTATAAAGGAACTTAATGATCAAAGGATGGGCAAAAGTGTCTTTCTTAAAACATCACCAAAATCTAACTGCGGTTGCCAACCCACTTACTTAGCATGGCAACTACTGGCAATTCCTCCCCCCCCCCCTCCCTCAGAAGAAATCCCATATTCAGTACAGACAGCTACAGTTAACGGCCGATATGAATGAGTGGATGGTAAATTTATTGGTTTAGTTAAGTTTTATTAGCCCCGACTTCTGGAATGTCTGAGATAAAAATAACCTTTGTTCTTCCCCGTTCTCAATTACAATGAGAACTGTAATTCTCATTGCTAGAAACATTCCTTAACCAGTGAACGTCGCTGTGAACTACCGTGTTTCATTCCTGCTGAATTCGGGACGACGGGCCAATTTATTTGGCCTCTTTCTCACCTATCATCCGTCACCGGATTTCAATTTTATACGTTAAAGAATGTGCCTATAAATATTGACAGAAGACAAAATGATGTCAACTAATACCCTAGGAAGGGGGAAATGTTAGTAATGGAGACTGAGAATCCCATTGCTAGCAATATACCCAACCAGGTCGACCTCCTCGCACTTCTCCCTGGAAACTATCATGGTTAATTCCTGATGAATTAATCATGATGGGCTAACTGGCCTGTTTTCATTCTCATCTATCACCCTTCACTGGTGCTCCGCCAGCGTATGCCGTTAGCGCAGGCGGGGTTACCACACCATTTTCACCCAACAAAAAAAATACCCTAGGAATGAAAGAGAAAGAGATTGCTACTCATGTGGACAACCAGTTCCATTGCTAGCAATATACCCCTGTCAAGACAAACTCCACGTAGTTATTCCTGGAAACCATGAACTAACTAACCTGCCTTTTCGTTCTCATTTATCAATTATTCCCCACTAGTGCCCTGCCAGTATATACCGTTAGCGTAGGTGAGGTTCTCATTCCATTATCAATCCTACAATAATTTACCCTGGAAATGCAGGAGGATTGTGGTAAAGATGAGAATAATTTACCCTGTAAATGCAGGAGGATTGTGGTAAAGATGCCATGTGTACGGATACCTTCCCGTCTCTCGGATACAATTCTTTTTACCACTCTTTCGAAAAGTATGCGACCATTCGAGACCTGTTTGATTATAAAAAAAAAATACTTACAAACGATGTGAAGATGTAGTGGTAATTCTCGTTGTTCATTTGCAGCTGTAGAATCTGGAAAGATATAGTAATAATTTTTTTCTATAGTATGCTTTGCGACAGAATAAATATGTTGACATATATATAAAGTAACTCAAAATCAATAATGATGGTAAGGTTACATACAGCTCTGGCCAACTGGTGCATCTTCTTCGGGTCGGTGTCAACAATGATATACGCTATGTCCTGAGCCTTCAGCTGCGTTAGGGCTCGCCGGTAGTCGTGCGGCGAGCTGCACCGTACCGCATACATACTGCGGCCGTCTCGTGCTATATTTAGGATGTTGAGCTCCCCTGCAATTGTCACATTATCTTTTTTGTTTATTTATTTATTCATTAGTACACATACGTGTACATGGCGGACTTAATGCTAAAAGCATTCTCTCCCAGTCAACCGTAGGCAAGTGTCAGAATACTCGAATGCGGTACTACTAATTATTGATATACATACATACTAAAATTACATATATAAACGAATAAATATATATAAATAACAAATATACTTACACATATATAAAATATACTATATTATACATGAAATTGAGAATAATATAAAGTAATTACTGCTCGGATAAAGTAAAAAAGTGAGCGTGAACGTTTTTTTGAAGACGGTTCTATCTTCACTATCTAAAATCTATCTTCACGCCAATTTCCTGTAGGGAGTAGATTGAATCAATCTATACTACAGGTGAGACTGAAAACGTTTGCGGTACTTAACACGTTCCGGCATGCAGTCCCGGGTCCGGTAAAATGTGATGTAGCACATATTTATATCATACAAATGATAGCAGCTTCTAAAGACGTTTTGATCTCAGCTTTTCTAAATATTCTATTATAATATATAAAATTCTCGTGTCACGGTGTTTGTTACCAAACTCCTCCGAAACAGCTTTACCGACTTTAATAAAATTTTGTGCGCATATCGGGTAGGCCTGAGAATCGGCCAACATCTATTTTTCATACCCATCGATGATAAGGGTGACCCACCTCTAAATATTTTATTTTTATTTTTTTTGGCAATTGTTTTTATTTTTATTTTATGACTGAAAAATACATACAAATTCAAATTTTCACAAATATCTGTTTGTTGTTTCTGTAGTTTTGCTTTGTTGTTTTTTTTTTGTTTTATCGATATTTTTTGTTTTATCGATATTTTTTGTTGTATTGTTGTTTTTTGTTGTATCGTGGTTTTTGTTGTACTATTTTTTGTTGTATTGTTGTTCTTTCTGTTGTGTTGTTGGTCGACTTCATTAATGTACTTACCATAACCATAGTCCTCGTAGATGATCCCCATCCTCGTCCAGTTAAGGTAATTGGCGAGATCCAGGAATGCCTTGTCTATTAGGTCCCGAGGTGGAAACAGGTTGATCGTGAAGGAATCCGTCTGATTATGGGCTGAAACAATAAAGATATTTGAATAAACTTAAATGTAAGCAATTTTGAGTAATTTTTTTTTTACTGTAACGCCCATTCTAAAAAACTTCTGGACGGATTTGATTTAAATTTGTTACACGGGTAGGTTCGGTTTTTTTAATGGGTGATAATGGTAACCCCTCCCCCCTTTCCTGTGCTAACTGTATACACTGGCGGGGCACCAGTGAACGATGATAAATGATGATGAAAAAGTAAAGTAATAAGCATATCATGATGAATTCAGAACGATGGTTTCCAAAGGGGCTAGCGATAAGATCGATCTGATATTATATATATATATATATAGTCTGCTATCGGAGGATTCTTGGATACTTCGGTCATGTCGCTCGACGACAGTCCGACAATCTGGACAAACTAATGGTTGTAGGCAAGATAGAGGGAAGAAGACCACGCGGACGATCGCCTAATTTTTACGCAGTACGGGATTGTCAATTGCAGCTGCCCTGCGAGAGGCTGAAGACCGTGCACAATGGAATAACATCATAAGAGAGGCAACAGACACCTTTCAAGGACACGACCTTCAGATATATATATATATATATATATATATATATACCCTATACTGCTATAAATAGACTGCTAATCCTTATTACTAGCAATCCAAGAATTTAGTTAAGTGGTAAGTTTGCACTTTTTAAATAACCAATTCGAAATATTAAAATATTATGAATTTTTTTTATTACAAAACATACAATTGCATCTTTGTCATGCTTAATTATATACGGTGTTAATAAACCAACACACTTTAATATTTATAATAGTATTCTCTGAAGAAATAAAAGTTTCTTAAACAATTTAGAAGTCGCTGTCCAGAGCGCCGGCCGCATCGAAGCGGCATTCCCGAGATGCTGACAACTTCGGTTCATAAATAAAATATGTCAGGTCATAATAGATAGATAGATAGATAGATAATTTATTTGCATTACGTACAGCACACAAATTACAACATACATATACATACAAAACAAAGCGAGATAACATAAATGATAAAAAAAAAATACATAAAGCTAAATACAATTTTCGTTTGTGAGTGTGCCACAGCAATACAAAATGGCCAATACCATTAAGCTTCATCTTTATTTATTTACTAATTATTTATTTAGAATTATTTCGTTTAATTCCGCTACCGTTAGTATGCGTGCGACTGCCAACACTCGAAGACTGGCCGCCATTATTATTTTGGTTTACCCAATGGTCCGACTGGTAGAGAACACCGTCCGGTGTTAAGTCCGCCATATGTACATAGAATTTTACTGTGCATTAAAGTTTAAATAAATAAATAAATAAAATAAAAATATATATAGGACTTTTATTTGAGCAAGTTGTCATCTTCTTAATATGTTTATATGTCTGGTTAGCATACTTATTACTTGCATACTTTTCGTGAACAGTATTTATATATTTTTATGTATTTGTGTAGGCGTTTATGTCCATGTATGTATATGTGTATATGTATGTATATGTATTTGTATATGTGTTAGTATATATATAATGATATATAATGCGTAGGGATAATATTTATATTATTATATGTATCACATCTCCCATATTTAGAACTAATAGAATTTTTCATCGTGCCTCCCACCAAACTGTTTATAATTACTCCTCTCCATCCAAAGGTTGGCTGCAAGAGATCGCTCTCAGCGATAAGGTCGCCCATTGTTGTCTCACTGTGATCATTTCTTGTAATTGTTTGTATCTATAATAAGTTTACTGTTGTAATCTTATGGAGGAAACAATAGAGAGTATCTATCTATATATATATATTTTTTTTTTTTTAATTTATGCCTGTCTGTCGAATCAAAATTGAATAATGTAACTTTTTTTTTTAAATTGAATTATTCCGGCATCATATTGAATGCAGTCTTTACAGTTGTATTCTTGCAGATGTTTAAAATAAACTTACACGGGTAATGCTCAGGGGCGACCTTGAAGTGGGGAGTGTGGAGAGAGGTGCACATAGCGCTGAGCGTCGAGCCCAGCAGTGGACCTGCGCTACTGAAGATAGCGACAGCACCGGACTTGATCTGGAGGCAGGCTGTGGAAGAACAGGAAAATAAATTATGTTAATATACCATGGCACACCATTTCAGCCGTAAACTGCAAGCTTTCTCTATAAAAGGAAGTTTTACTAGTAGTTGCCACGTTTGGCGAGTGGGTTGGCAACCGCAGCTGGGCTTTCAATTGTTATTGATAGTAATATTTTAAGAAGGACGCTGCTGCCTATCCCTCGAACATTTAGTTACCTTAGTCGCCTCTTACGACACCCACGGGAAAGGAAGGGATTGCCCATTCTATGCCGGGACCGGACCACACGGTATAAGTATTCGGTATCACGGTAATGTATGGTTTACTCAAATGAATCATTCATTTACAAACGATGTCGCGATCCAAGCTAGTCTAAATTATTATAGAGACTTTGTACAAAAGTCGATTGCTTGGCCACCTCTGTGTCCCATTCGTGTTTCAACCGTGAAGTAGTTGTGTTTGCATGGTTGTGTTTCGGTTTGAAGGGTGAAGGATATGGCAGTGAATTTACAGGGTACAGAGGAATAACACCTGAGTCCTCAGGAATGGCAACGCATGGGGGGTATCATGGGCGAAACAGTATACTCTGTTATGTGCATGGTACTGCTCATGTCTATAGGCGACGGTTACCACTTACCATCAGGTGGGCCATCAGCTTGTTTGCCATTCTAAGTTGTATAAGAAAAATTGGGTATCATGAAGCAAATTTTTTTTTTTTTTAGATCAATTAAAAACTACAGTACCTGCGACCGACATAAGCTTTAATTAAAAGAAAAAACGTGCAAAGCCGAAGCGGATCGCTAGTGTCCTTATAAAGTATACAATTTCCAATGCTTTCATCTCGAAATTTCAGCCGTAATAAACCGTGGAGGGCCCTTCTTCCCGCCACTTCCGGTCGCCATTGCACCGCCATATTGCGTTTCCTGTACTCCGCCCAACGTCCGTTATTGACCTTGTTTCATAATTGTTGGACTCTCGTGTAATTATACACGCTCGGGACAAAAAACAAGTTTATTTTTCATCGTAAAATTTTTAAAACTTTACTATATACTCCGAGAAGTTAAATAAACATATATATATATATATATATATATATATATATATATATTTAGTAATATAATTTTCCAGAGGGAGACTTTGTACAAAAGTCGATTGCTTGGGTACCTCTGTCCTATTCGTGTTTCTACCGTGAAGCAGTTGTGTTTGCGTGGCTGTGTTTCGGTTTGAAGGGTGGGATATAGCAGTGAATTTACAGGCTACAGAGGAATAAAACCTGAGTACTCAGGAATGGCAACGCATGAGGAGGGGGGCAACATGAGCGAAACAGTATACTCTGTTATGTCCATGATATTGCTCATGTCTATAGGCGACGGTTACCACTTTCCATCAGGTGAGCCGTTAGCTTGTTTGCCATTTTAAGCTGCATTAAAAAAAGCCGACATTTTTAGATCGATGTAATATGTTTGTATCCATGTTAACCAAGGGTTTTGTTTCTGTTTTAAGAGGGACACTGCTGCCTATCCCTCGACCATAAGCTCCCTTAGTCGCCTCTTACGACGCCCACGGGAAAGGAAGGGGTGGCCTATTCTATGCCGGGACCACTCGGTTAATTTCTGTTTTATACTACTACATATTATATTACTACAATATTATTGCTATATATATATATATATATATATATATATATATAGTCAATTAAAATATTAATTAAAATAAAAAATATACCTACCGATCCACAGCTATCTCAAATAAATTTTCTATTTGTATATACAAATATATGGTCTATATAGACCAAATTCTATTTAATCAAATCGTAAGTAAATAATTCTGTATATTTAAATCAAATTTCTTTCAATAAGCACTCGTTTCGTTTGTCAAAAATAAAATGTCATATTTTTTCCGAACAATGCAATAATTTCGCGCCATGGCCGAAACATCGAAGTTTTGATTCCAAATTCGAATTTCAATCCTACCCCTAGATTGTTGTTGTTATTGTTTTTAAATTCGTCCAAATTGAACACGCAAAGAGCATGACATACACAGCCTAGTTATACGTACGTTTCTATTTATTCTTCATACATAGATAGACAATTTATTTCATTCGTATAATAATTTACATAAATCTTCTAAAGAATGGTATGCACTAAGTGTCAAATTTTAGCATTACATAATACATTTTTATGCAACTTGTGTTTTGTGTTTAGTAATTGTTCTTCATAGATTGATAAATAATCATTTCTTTAGTAGAATAATTTACACGCATAGATTAAGGATAGGATTTTCAATATACCTAGATGTTCTAATAAAATAAATAAACAAAATTTTTTTTTCAGTATTCTATTTACTTACGCACACAATGTATCTTGACGTATCTATATTTAATTATTTAATAAATAAAATGAGTTTATGCATTAAAAATATGCAAAAATTACAGAACAAAATAAATATAGAGGTTATAAAGATAACGCCCGTTTATGACGCAAAATTGTATATAAAAGTTGACTGGCTTTTCTCGAAGCATTTGTATGGAGACACTCTATCTACATAATCTAAGATATAAACAAATACTGTATAACTAATGTGTCAATATTGTGCTCGTGTTGTAACTGTAAGGCCTATTCTTTTTCTATTTTTTTTTTCTTTATCTATTTTTTTTTTCTCCATTAATTCACAATTTCTATTTACAATACTAGTACTTTTTTTATGGATGATATTGGAATGGTAACCCCACCTGCGCTAACGGTATACGCTGGCGGGGCACCAGTGAGTACAGATGGGCAAAGCACCGGGTTTAAACCCGGTGCTTTGGTAAAAACCCAATAAACACCCATAAACTCCCATAATCACCCAAAAAAATAGGTTTTTACGTATTTTTTTGAAAATATGTAAGTAATACCAATAAATTATTTTTATAAATTGTATTGATCAATTCTACAATATTAAATAAAACGTTAACTAATAATATTTCAGGAAATTTTAAAAATCTATATATAATAAAATGAAAGTAATTAATTTTCAGTGTTTTCATGTTGCAGTTGATCAACATGTTGGCCTTTTGCTTCCCGTAGATACTTTAAAATTTCTTCATAACACCTCGTTCGCACACATGGCCGTATATATTTAAATTCTTGAGCCACTAACAGTCCGAAATACTCATTTCTTTTATCCTCTTCTCCATAAATTAAGCATTTAGAACAGTTTGTTTCTTCTTTCAGTAAATTTTCTTTTACTTTATCCTCGTTTTTTTTCTTTGTTGCGACGACGCTGGGTAAATCATCTGGACACTGGGTCTCACTATCGCCAAATATATTTGGAGATCGGCTTCGGCTACGGCTTGGCAGACATTTTTTTCTTTCTACAATTTTAAATTAAATTTATTAGAATAAATGCTTCGAACACACGCGATCTAAGTACCTTTTGTGTTTATTATACCTTACCTACCTAGGTATAAAAAGAGTACTTACGTAGATTTTCTTTTATTAACTGTTTTATACGAAGATCTTGATCTCTCAAATTAGCATCCATTTTACTTCCAGTGATTATCAACTAAATTAATAATCCACAAAGTATTAAATAACGTTTTTATGAAATATTTAGCACAAAAACAATACCCTTTAAATATCGATCGTCAGTAACTGTGGCTGACTTACCTATATTCTAGCAAGCAGGACTGCCAGATGTGAAGGGGAAATCCCCAATAAATTGTTGCATGTGACTGATGATGTGAGCATGTTCGTTTCATAATAAAAATGTTGCCAGGTAACCAAAAAGTCGTATGTTTTTGTGCGAATTACGATCATAATCTTTACGATCGTACATTAAAAAATAGACAAATAATAGTATGAGTACGATTTAAATCGTATATCTGTCAACCCTGCTAGCAAGACAGCGACAAAATCACGTTGCATAACAATGTAGCCCAAGCTTATATCTTATGAAATATACGGAAGAGATACGGACTTAGAAAAAACAGAAATGTTGTTCTTTGTGGAAGTCATTGATGAAATTCTATGTATTTTAGCCCGCAAACTTTCTTCAAACAAAAACAGCGCCATCTAGTATCGAGTTCTGTAATTATCTCTTTGTTTATGGATTTGAAGTAAGACCGCCACGCATGCAATACATTATGACTGGGGATTCCCCTATTCGTCGACGCTGAATATGAGGCGACGACAATCACTGTCAAACGTGTTCACTATTACTCTGACTCTGGTAACGTGACTTCCTGGTAACGTGTTAGGTAGGAAAAGCAGTAAAAAAGTGCATATTAAGGGAGCAGATTTGAAATAATATTTATACTTAACAAGAAATAATTAAAGGTAAGTGGATTTTTGAATGATACAATTATATCATGATCACTTAACAATTTTAACTTAAAATTAGATGTATTATTACAAGCTTTTATTTAGCTTGCGTTATGTAAATAAAAGTATGTAGGTATGTTCGTATGTTGATGCAATTATCCTCAATCCTCAACCGACTGGGATAAAATTTTCCATACACGTTTATTTTGGATGATAGTGCATAGTTAGCTGAGAGTCGTCATTGGATAATAATGGTGGATAGCCTAAGATGTGTACTAGATATTTATTTTTAACATAATATGCGTAAGTACCTAATCGAATTAAAGAAGTTGCTGAGAAAAATACAGAACAATACGATAATAAACTAGCGTCTGCGTTTAATCCTCCGAGGAGATGTAATTTTACAAAGGTTTTTTGTATTTATTTTATTATTTTTTTAATAAATTTATTGTAAATAACAAGAAATAATCATTGTAAAAAAATAGGCACTCTATTGTTGAATTTTCGTCAGACCAACTAATCATCGTTCATTTTTTTAGGTTCAATGGGGAGACCTAAAGATTTACGCATATGGGAGCACTACCGTACTTTACCAAACAAGTCTGTTTCTTGCAAGCTTTGTAATAAGGTCTACAAATTCAGTAATGCTGCCAAAATGCTTCAACATCTTATCACTTGTCCAAAATCTCCAGAAACATTAAAAGACTCTATGAAACTTATAAAAGATAGCTCGTCCAAAACCAAAATGTCTGGACTGTCAGAAATAGAGACAAATGATTCTTTTATAAGCCCCTCGTCGTCTGCTAACACTACAATAAATGCTGAGTTTCAAGACACCGATGATCATATAAAAACAGAATTAGCGAGAGCTATATTTGTAACAGGGACGCCATTATCGATGGTGCAACATCCTTTATGGATACAATTTTTCGAAAAATTGCAACCAAAATTTAAAATACCTTCACGTAAAGCTTTAGCGACAAAATACTTAGATAAAATATATAGAGAAATGCGTTTTGAGTTAAATGAGGAACTAAATGCTTGTAGTTACTTACACCTTCAGTGCGATGGCTGGTCTAATTTAAGAAATGAAGGAATAATAAACTTTCTTATATCAAAACCTCAACCTGCATACGTTAAAAGTTTGAATACAGAAAGTAATCCTCACACTAGTGAATACCTTAGCCAAGAAGTTGAAAAAGTAATGAAAGTGTATGGAGCAAATAAGTTTCTTGTACTTATTATTCTGCATATCAATGATATGTTACAGATAAGTAATATTCATTGCTATGCAGACGACAGTACAGGAGATACATTATATACCGGTCATGCAAAGATCTCGCGGGCACATACCGATGAGTGCCGGAATAGACTTGTGTCTGAAATCGAAACTTCACTCCATCAAGTTTCGATCTGGGGTGAACAAAATCTTGTCCAATTTAACCCCAAAAAGACACAAGTCTGCGCGTTTACCGCAAAAAAGACGCCGTTTGTCGTATCTCCTCACTTTCAGGGCACTTCCCTTGATAAAAAGTCGAGTCTAGGAATTCTGGGCGTTGATATATCTTGCGACGTCCAGTTTTGCGGTCATCTGGAGGAGAAGGCTAAGATAGCTTCCAAAAAGTTAGGAGTACTCAATAGGGTGAGACGATATTTCATGCCAGAACACCGCCTGAAATTATATAAAGCCCAAGTCAGGCCGCATATGGAATACTGTTCTCACCTGTGGGCAGGAGCGCCACAGTACCAACTCCTTCCGTTAGACCGCATTCAAAGTCGGGCGGCTCGAATTATCGATAGTCAACGCCTTACTGTCCGACTCGACCCACTGAAACTGCGCAGAGATGTTGCATCTCTGTGCATCTTCTACCGAATTTATCATGGGGAGTGTTCTGAGGAATTGTTCGGATTGATACCTGCTGCTGATTTTCACCACCGTACAACCCGCCACAAACTAAAGTTTCATCCCAATCATCTGGACGAGTGGCGGTCTTCCACCGTGCGTTTTTCAAGGCACTTTCTTCCACGCACAACCATTCTTTGGAATCAACTTCCAGCAGCAGTATTTCCGAACCGATACGACAACATAACCTTCAAGAAAAGAGTATATTCCTTTTTAAAAGGCCGGCAGCACACCTGCAATGCCGCTGGTGTTGTGGGTGATCATGGGCGGCGGTAGTCACTTACCATCAGGTGAGCCGCATGCTCGTTTGCCCCCTGTGTTGTAAAAAAAAAAAAAAAAAAAAAAAAAAAAAAATTATTGGCGATAACGCTAGAAATATACAAAAGGCATTCGAATTAACAAAACTCAAATATCCACATGTTGTTCCTCTCGGTTGCTGTGCACATATCCTTAACTTGTTGTGCCAAGATATTGTAAAGATACAAGAAGTAACTGTGTTTATTATGCAAGCCATAAATATAATAAAAACTGTTAAAAGGAGTCAACGATTAAGTTCCTTGTTGATAAAATCAAGGCAGGGTGAAGATTCTACACAAACACTAAAATTGCTTTGTGCTACAAGATGGGGAAGTCATGTTACTTCGTTAAAAAGTTTGAAAGCAAATAAGATAGCTTTGCAAATATTAACAGTTAGAGAAGATGTGGTAATTTCAAGAGATATTAAAGATTTAATTCTAAGTGATGATTTCTGGACGAAGACAGGGGAATGTATAAGTATTTTGGAACCAGTCACTGAAAGCATATTTTACTTAGAGAGCGACCAGAATCGTTTGCATCGCACATACATTACATTTAGAGATGTACAAGCTAAGATACGTTTTGCATTAAATGAGATTTCGACATTGAGCGAAGAAAGCAAACAGCAGATTCTAACATCAGTATCTTCAAGATGCAATATGGCAATGAGGCCAATACATTTTGCAGCATATATTCTAGACCCCAGGACTCTAGGAGTCGAACTTACTCAAGAGGAAGAACTTAAGGGTATGGAGTTTATCTACAATTTAAGCCAACACTTAAGTTTGTCAAATGTAATGGCAGATTTGGCGTGTTATAAAGCTAAAGAAAACTTTTGGGCCAGAGGATTTGTATGGAGCTCATTAGATAGCATTGAGCCCCTAATATGGTGGAAAGGTATTTGTGGTTCCACTGAGTTAAGCAAAGTAGCGATTCGTATTCTATCAGCTCCCTGTACTTCGGCAGCCACTGAGCGTTCCTTTAGTATCCAAGGCTACATACATAATAACAAAAGAAATCGACTTACAACTGAAAGAACTGAAAAAATTTCATTCATTTGTTATAACTGGAATCTTAAACATAAAGCTGAATGCGAGGACATTCAGTTTAATGAAGAAAATACCTTAGAAGCTTTCATTGAGCAAGTAAATGAACATAACAGTTTAGACGAAATAGAGCCTATCGAACCTATACAATTCATCGCTTGTAATAACTCTGAATCTGACAGTGATTGACTGTAGTTTTACATTTTACTTTCATCTCTTTCTTAATAAACTCAAAATCAAATTAAAAGTTTTTTATTCTGTAGGCTGCATAATAATATTGTCTATGTCCAGTATAGTGGACGTCTTGCGGCTGAGATGACGATGATGAAGTACAAAATCATAAACACCCAAAAATTTGGGTGTTTATGGGGTTTAAACCCAATAAACCCAAAACACCCGGTTTTTACCCACCAGACTTTAAACCCACCCAGGTGGATTGCCCATCTCTACCAGTGAGTGATGATAGGTGAGAATGAAAAGGCAGGTCAGTTAGCACATCGTGATGAATACACATGGAATTCAGCACGATGGTTTCCAGAAAGGACCATGGGGAGGTCGACCTGACAGGGTATATTGTTAGCAATGGGAGTGGTAATCCGTTTTACTAACAATCCCTTCCCCCACTACTAGTACTAGGCGAAAGTATACCGGATAGAGCGTTGACCTCGATAATTTTTTTTATGTACCCTTACCTTTCTTATAGGTCCTGAAGGAGTCCCTGGTGGTGGTGTACTGTATGTCGTAGATGAGGGTGCTGTTCGGCAGCAGGGTCCTCTCCTTGTTGATCCTGTACACCGCGTACTTGAACGCCAGCTCTGCGCTGCCCCCGCGCGCCTCCTCCGTGAATATGGCACCTGCAAATGTTAGTACTTCATAGAAAAGAGTTGAATGGGGTGGATGGGATAAAGGGGATATAATGGGATGGGGTGGATGGAATGAAATTATATAATGTGATGGGGTGGGTGGGATGAAGGGATATAATAAGATGAGGCGGATGGGGATAAAGGGATATAATGGGATAGGGTGGATGGTATGAAGGGATATAATGGGATGGATGGATGGGATGAAGGGATATAATGGGATGGGGTGGATGGGATGAAGAGATATAATAGGATGGGGTGGGATGGCGTGGGATGGGAGAGAGTAGGTTAAAGTGGGATGAAACGGGACAGAATAGAATGGTTAGGGATGTGGTGCAATAAGATGAAATGCGATGGTATTCGAAATTTCACGATGGAAAAAGATAAAACGGGATGGACCAGAATAGAAACCTAGGAACACACCTTGCATATAATTTATTTTTCATACTACTTAGAATGGCAAACAAGCTGACGGCCCACCTGATACCCCCCCCCCCCCCATGCGTTGCCATTCCTGAGAACTCAGGTGTTATTCCTCTGTACCCAGTAAATTTACGCCATATCCCACCCTTCAAACCGAAATACAGCCATGCAAACACAATTACTTCACGGTAGAAACACGAATGGGACAGAAGTGCCCAAGCAATTGACTTTTGTAAAGTCTCCCTCTGGTATATACCTGGTAGATACCCTTTATACTCACTCCACCACACAACTCACCAATCTTAATGACGGGCGATAGAGCGGCGACTGCGTTCAACATGACCAGAAGGCAACGCCACCCGCGCCACATCTTCCCACCACATCACCCCACCAGATGTCGCCACCGGTCGTGCGCTCCACATAAACTGGGGGCAAACAAAGAAATGAGCTTTTTAATACATGATAATGGAATGGTAACCCCGCCTGCGCTATCGATATACGCTGGCAGGGCATTAGTGAGGGATGATAGGTGAGGATGAAAAGGCTAGTTAGCCTTTCGTAACTAATACACTGGAATTCAGCACGATGGTTCCTAGGTGAGACCACGACCTAACAGGGTATATTGCTAGCAATGGGACGGGTATTAACGATATATATATATATATTTGCATCAGTGAAACGATGCGCTTTACTGAAACGATGCGTTCTCCCATTTATATACTTGTTATTCGCATTAGATGAGTTTTTCAATTTCCAAAAGAAGGGAGAGAATTTCCTTAGGAATTGTGAGCAATTCGATTGTATTTTTTATTTATTATTTTATACTTTATTGTACGGACTAATAATACTTGAAAAAATATAAACAAAGGCGAGTTTAATTGTAAAATAGTTTTCGTCCAGCGAATCCAAAATTGTATATTTTTTAATAATATATTAATTATTAATTTATTATTATATTTTTTACTAAAGGGGATTGGGGCAATGACCCCTTAACACAGGTTAATATATTAATCTATTTAGGAGCCCAGTTCTGAAACCACAACTACTGTACCCTTTTAAAACTATAATTTACTTACAATTTCTTGTATAATATATCATATATGTGTAAGTATATTCATTATTTATATATATTTATTCGTTTATATATGTAATTTTAGTATGTATGTATATCAATATGTACTAGTACCGCATTCGAGTATTCTGACACTTGCCTATGGTTGACTGGGAGAGAATGCTTTTAGCATTAAGTCCGCCATGTACACATATTTGTACTAATAATATATAAAAAAAAAATTGTTAAGAAACTATAATTATTTTTTTAAGAATACATTTTATTTTATTTCAATTATTATAAACCTTAAATATAATGTGACCCAACTAATTGACTGGATTATTTGTAATTTGTATAACAAATATATTATTAATAAGTAAATATGTTGCCATTGTAAAATATATTACGTCACATTCGGTTTTTGTTTTTTGTTCATAGCATAATTAAATGAATTTTGTATGACTTAGAGAATGTAGATAGAGCATCGAGCCTCAAAAAAGGGTCCACTTTTGTCAGCTAATTGTCAAATTAGCTGACTCTTTTTTTTATCAGTGTTTTATATAATTACGCATAAAATGTATCTTGATGATATCTGGATTTAATATTTAAAATGAGCATTTACGCATTAAAAAAGGTGCAAAAACTATAAGACAAACTAAATAAAGAAGTTATAAAGGAAACACTCATATCTGTTTATTACGCATAATTGTATGAAAAAGCTGATTCATTTTCTCGAAGCATTTGTATGGAGACATTCTATCTATATAATGTAATTCTAGATTCTGTTGAAGAGTGTATACAGTATTTAAATGTACCATCGTATTTATAATTTTTCAGACAAAATCAAACTATTTGTATTTGGAAAGGAGCATTAATGTCAGCGGTTAAAGCGATGTACAGTATTGTAACAATTTAGAAACAAAAAACAAAAACTAGACAAACTTATGTTTATACATAATTTCATTATGAATTACTTGTTTGACAGATAATGTTTCAAATACATTCATAGTGTAGCATTAACTTTAAAAAAAAAGAAACAAAAAATAATAAATAAAATGTAATACACCCTTAACAATAGATAATTTTTTTTTTTTGTAATTTTTAGCGTAATTTTGTTTTAAATTTACATAAAATGTCAGAGAAATTGCTATGAAAACAGACTATTATAGCAGTTTGTCATTATTTTTTAAAGCGAAAAATTAGTGCAAAAAAAAAATAATATCCTTAACGAATCCCTTCAACAGCTAAAACAGGGTTATAAGAGGTTTGATGTTTATGAATAAAGGGGTAAGTAAATGTTCATTCTAAGTTATATAAAAAAATATGTTTTTTTCTTTTAAATCGCTTACCATTATTTTAGTTATCATTTTAGTATTATTTGATAAAAAAATCCCTTCTATTCATAAAGATTCTAATAGTCTATTGTAATTTTCTTTCAAATTGCGAAATTATCAGAAAATAAAATAGTAACTAAAAAGGAAATTACACGTCTGACTGGGCTGTATGGGCTTCATTACTTTTGCCCACAAATTGATTAAAGAAACTGCTTTTGCTTGTTCTAATTTTTTGGTCTAATCAGTTTTAATATTATTTTTAAAAAAAAGTTGAATAAGAGAAAAAAAATATATAAAATTCAATAGCAGATCCGCCTCACTTCGAACAAGATACGTTTATATAAATTTTATGCAACCGGTTCATTGAATTTGTATGTTTTAGTCCTTGAAAGTTACTAGATTTTTTATGATACTCATCGATATTGATATTTTTGATAGTGTCATATTATAAAAACTTGTTCAAAACTGTATATATTAGTTTAATGGCTTGTGTTGATGCTTCCAGTTGGTTCCATAGATTCCTTTTCTAATTTGACCAATAAGGGTAGTGTCGACTTCTGAATAACAAAGTGATTACTTACTCTGTATCCATGAACGTCGTAGGACCACAAGAATTAGTCTTAATCTATGAAAGACACGATGCGGGTACTAACCTTAATCTATGGACATAATGTTACTAGATGTATGATACTACGAGGAATGCACATTCGATTAAAAATATTTGAATTTAGAACATTGTGTTGTGGAACCTAGTGATGGCCATTTCTTTAAACTTATCCCTTTTATTCTAATTTGATAATTTTGCGAAATTACTGTTTTATAAACATTTGTTAATTAAATTTATAAGATTTTTTACTTAAATGTATTAGAAATTTACATCATATTGGTCCTTACAGTAAGTATTTCGCGATATCAAATGGAAATTTTAAATATATAGATAGATTTAGAGAAATGACGGCTTAGAATTGATCCAAGTGTTCAATGTACGATATATGTACATGGGAGATATTTAATATATATATATATATACATACATACATATCTGTCACGCCTGTCTTCCATTAGGGTAGGCAGAAACAATGGAACGCCAAATGCTTCGATTCAAACAAACCTCTTTCGCTTTTTAATACATGATAATGGAATGGTAACCCCGCCTGCGCTATCGATATACGCTGGCAGGGCATTAGTGAGGGATGATAGGTGAGGATGAAAAGGCTAGTTAGCCTTTCGGGACGGGTATTAACGATATATATATATATATATATATATATGTATATAGGGGGGAAAGACATCCCATTGCTAGCAATATACCCTGTTAGGTCGTGGTCTCACGTAGGAACCATCGTGCTGAATTCCAGTGTATTAGTCACGAAAGGCTAACTAGCCTTTTCATCCTCACCTATCATCCCTCACTAATGCCCTGCCAGCGTATATCGATAGCGCAGGCGGGGTTACCATTCCATTATCATGTATTAAAAAGCGAAAGAGGTTTGTTTGAATCGAAGCATTTGGCGTTCCATTGTTTCTGCCTACCCTAATGGAAGACAGGCGTGACAGATATGTATGTATGTATATATATATATATATATTAAATATCTCCCATGTACATATATCGTACATTGAACACTTGGATCAATTCTAAGCCGTCATTTCTCTAAATCTATCTATATATTTAAAATTTCCATTTGATATCGCGAAATACTTACTGTAAGGACCAATATGATGTAAATTTCTAATACATTTAAGTAAAAAATCTTATAAATTTAATTAACAAATGTTTATAAAACAGTAATTTCGCAAAATTATCAAATTAGAATAAAAGGGATAAGTTTAAAGAAATGGCCATCACTAGGTTCCACAACACAATGTTCTAAATTCAAATATTTTTAATCGAATGTGCATTCCTCGTAGTATCATACATCTAGTAACATTATGTCCATAGATTAAGGTTAGTACCCGCATCGTGTCTTTCATAGATTAAGACTAATTCTTGTGGTCCTACGACGTTCATGGATACAGAGTAAGTAATCACTTTGTTATTCAGAAGTCGACACTACCCTTATTGGTCAAATTAGAAAAGGAATCTATGGAACCAACTGGAAGCATCAACACAAGCCATTAAACTAATATATACAGTTTTGAACAAGTTTTTATAATATGACACTATCAAAAATATCAATATCGATGAGTATCATAAAAAATCTAGTAACTTTCAAGGACTAAAACATACAAATTCAATGAACCGGTTGCATAAAATTTATATAAACGTATCTTGTTCGAAGTGAGGCGGATCTGCTATTGAATTTTATATATTTTTTTTTCTCTTATTCAACTTTTTTTAAAAATAATATTAAAACTGATTAGACCAAAAAATTAGAACAAGCAAAAGCAGTTTCTTTAATCAATTTGTGGGCAAAAGTAATGAAGCCCATACAGCCCAGTCAGACGTGTAATTTCCTTTTTAGTTACTATTTTATTTTCTGATAATTTCGCAATTTGAAAGAAAATTACAATAGACTATTAGAATCTTTATGAATAGAAGGGATTTTTTTATCAAATAATACTAAAATGATAACTAAAATAATGGTAAGCGATTTAAAAGAAAAAACATATTTTTTTATATAACTTAGAATGAACATTTACTTACCCCTTTATTCATAAACATCAAACCTCTTATAACCCTGTTTTAGCTGTTGAAGGGATTCGTTAAGGATATTATTTTTTTTTTGCACTAATTTTTCGCTTTAAAAAATAATGACAAACTGCTATAATAGTCTGTTTTCATAGCAATTTCTCTGACATTTTATGTAAATTTAAAACAAAATTACGCTAAAAATTACAAAAAAAAAAATTATCTATTGTTAAGGGTGTATTACATTTTATTTATTATTTTTTGTTTCTTTTTTTTTAAAGTTAATGCTACACTATGAATGTATTTGAAACATTATCTGTCAAACAAGTAATTCATAATGAAATTATGTATAAACATAAGTTTGTCTAGTTTTTGTTTTTTGTTTCTAAATTGTTACAATACTGTACA